CTAACCTGTGTCTACTCTCTAGCCAGTGAATTACTCTCCTCTCCTTCTCACCCCGGGTAGCCATCAGAGAATGTTTCTTTTAGTTTGGAAAACTTTTTTTTAAGCTTTTACGATAATGGTCTCATACAATATTTGTCCTTTTGTGATTGACTAATTTCATTCAACATAATATCCTCCAGGTTCATCCAAGTTATGAGGTGTTTCACAGATTCATTGTTGTTCTTCAACTTTGCATAGTATTCCATTGTGTGTATGTGCCAAAGATTGTTTATACATTGTTGGGCACTTAGACTGTCTCCATCTTTTGCTATTACATTGCGGTAAACATTGGTGTACATATATTTACTCGTGTTCTGGCTTGTATTTCTTGTGGATATATACCAAGTAAAGGGATTGCTGGGTAATAAGGTGTTTCTATTTTCAACTTTCTGTGGAAGCACCATACCATTCTCCAGAGTGGTTGAACCATTTTACAGCCCCACCAGCAATGTAGGAGTGTTCCAGTCAGCATTTGTTGTCTGCTGCTTTTTTGAACTTCCCTGTTAATGTTGGTGTGAGATGATATCTCATTGTTGTTTTTATTTACTTCCTGGACTCCTGGTGTGGTGCTGTAGGATCAACACTGTACTGAGAACCACATGATCGACAGTTCAAACCCATCAGCTGCTCCTTGCAAACTCTATACAGTGTCACTATGAGTCAGAAATGACATGATGTACTTAACAATAACAACAACAACAATAAGTGGAACAATAGCATTAGGGCAGTACTCACTTCTTAGAATAATCAATCATTTGAGATCAAAAGGATATCATTTACCCAAGGACAAAATACAGAAGGGTTAGAAAAGAAGGAGGAATGGAAACAGATGCCACAAGGACTAAGTGGGATAAATAATGTTACATTGTAGGGATTGGAATCAATAACATGAAACAAAATGTATATGAATTGTTGAATGGAAAACTGATTTGTTCTGTAAACCTTCACCCAATCAATCCATAAGAAAAAAATATTTTTTAAAGTTATTTGTATAGGATCACAAATACTAATTACTACCATATTGTAGCTAAAACACTAGAAAAATGGACAAAATCAGTGACTATAAATGTACTGGCAGCAATAAAAACAACAATGCATGTTTGTAGTGTGTGCAGATGGAACCATATGATTTGAAGAGTCATTCTAATTGGGTAATAATGACAGCTCTGACTTTAGCACATTAGAAGATTTAGAAAGTAAATTGATTATCATAGAGTTTTAGCCTTGGTGTATTAATACATGTCAGCTGAACTTAAGGGGAAAAATTGTTATAACTAACTACCAAAATAATTTTGTTAAAAAAAGAATAAATTTCTTCTGAAACACTGTACAAAACTTTTATAGACAGTCACTGTTGAGTTACTTCCTTCGACAGTGCCACTTGCTGCAGTCTGCTCCTCCTACACCTCCCTAGATACACCACCGACCTCATCACAGACTATCTCAGGTAATATTTGATCAAAGTGGATGTTACTGTATTTCAGGGATTACTAATATTCAGTTTCCCTTGACAAGGAGCAAAGCACTGTGAAGATAAGAATATGGTCAAACAAACCCCCAAATCCCACTTGAATGTATGTTTCCTAACCTCATTCTTAATACCAGGTACCAACCAGTAAGGGTCCCAGTTAGAGAAAAAAACCTATACTAGTTATTTTAATGTTGTTGTTGTTGTTAAGTGCCATCTAGTCAGTTCCAACTCATAGCAATCCTGTATAGGGCTTCCAAGGAGCAGCTGGGGGTTAGCAGTCCAGGGCTTCTCCTATAGCACCACACCAGGACGAAATAGAGAAAACTTAATATAGGTGTTATGGATTGAATTGTGTCCCCCAAAATATACGTCATCGAGTTGATTCTGACTCAAAAGGACCCTAATGGGCAGACTAGAACTGCTCCATTGGTTTCCGAGTTTGTAAATCTTTATGGAAGCAGACTGCTTCACCTTTCTCCTGTGGAGTACTTTGTGGACTGAAAACACTCATCTTTTGATTAGTAGTCCAGTACTTAACCCACTGAACTGTCAGGACTTTGTCCATACAAAATATATGCTGTATACCCTAAACCCAATACATGTGGATATAACAGTCCCACATGGGTCTATTTGGGAATAAGACTTTCTTCATTATGTTAATGTGGCCATAGCAATGTAAGGTGTGTGTTTTGGGGATATAAAAGGAGCCAGTGGGCACAGAGGCAAGAAAGCACAGATGGAAGAAGATAGCTGTCACACCACACAAGGATCGCCAAGGAACCCAGGACAGAAGTTGAAGTGACAAGGACCTTCCCGTAGAGCCAGTAAAGTCAGAAACCCTATCCCTAGAGTTACCTAGGGGTATTTGTGCCTATATCTGTTTGTTACCAGTTGGCACCCAGTTGACTCTGATTTATGGTGACCCTATATGTTTCAGAATAGAACTGCATTCCATAGGGTTTTCAATGACTATGATTTTTCAGAAGTGGATCACCAAGTCTTTCTTCTGAGGTCATTCTGGGTAGATTCAAACTGCCAACTGCCAACCTTTTGGTCAGTAGCCAAGTACTTAACTGCACCACTTAGGGACCCTTACACCTGGTTGTTAGGAGTATGAAATGACATCATATATTAAATATATTAAATTGTACCTGACCCATAGTGTTTAAGAAATGGTAACTAAAGCTATGTAACAGAGTTGGAGCTTTTGAAGGGAAAGGCTGAGTCAAGGTGACTTTGACAATGTAATGAGAGAATTTCCTGACTTTCCTGCTCTGAAAGTCATTTCAGTTTTGCATTCATGGGCTGCTTACAGGAAGACAATCTCTCTCCCCAGCTCTTTTATTGAGCCCAGAGGGTGTACTTCAAACAAAAGGAAAACAAAAACTGAGTGATTTGTAAGAGCAGTTGAGTAGGTAGGGTTTTCTCTCAATGTCAGGGACTGTTTAACTGTTAACTCCGGGGGCAAGAGCTGTTTGTTGTTAGTTACCAATGAGTTAATTCCAGCCCCTGGGGAGCTGATCGCCATGTCTGTCCTCCAAGGCCTCTGCATAGGTTCAAACCACCAACCTTTCATCCAGGAGCAGAGTGCAGAAGCATGGGCACCACCTGGGACTCAGGAGACAAGACAAGCTCTTGAAAAGAGCGTCATGTTGTCACATGCAATCGAGTCAATTCTGACTCACAGTGACCCTACACACAATAGAATGAAAAACTGCCCAGTCCTGTGGCAGCTTCACAATTGTTGTTATGCTTGAGTCCATTGCTGCTGCCACTTTGCCAAACCATCCTGTTGGTAGTCTTCCTCTGTTTTGCTGACCCTCCACTTTACCAAGCATGATGTCTTTCTCCAGGGCCTGGTGCCTCCTAACAACATATCCAAAGTGTCAGAGACAAAGTCTCACCATCTTGGCTTCTAAGAAGAGTTCTGGCTGTACTTCCTCCAACACAGATTTGTTTATTCTTCTGGTAGTCCATGGTACTTTCAATGTTGTTCTCAAACACCATAATTGAAATGCTTCA